TTTTTTTTTTTTTTCTTTTTTTTTTTTAACCAAATTTAGAACAATATAATTCATTTAAATAATTTCACTTTACTGTATTAACAGCTGATTAATGTGCAAGCATTTCCCTGAAATTGTCGAATGACCGGAAAGCTGTAATATTCGATGGTGAGCGTTTGCAGTGAGTGGGCGCGTGAACGTTATAAAAGATATCAATAAAATATAACAATTTTTTTCCCCTCGATATTTACTTCTTTTGTAAACAGTGGTTTGTTTTTAATTTAAACATTTCTCCAATTACAGAAGATGGAATGTGTCAATGCCAAGCTTACTTGAATATATTCTGTTTCTTTGTGTATTAAGTATTAGTCGCGATCATTTTCTGTGTATAGGGATTAGCAGAGCAAGAGCAGGAAACGGCATGCCCTAGGGGTTTCACACCTGTCCTAGAGTACCTGTGGTAAATTTCTCTGCATGTGCAAGGCGTTGTCTAGCCATACAACACACCAGTCCCTTCAACGTTTCATTATTTCTTCATTTTCAAATGTAACTACAACCATGAAAGATACGCGAGTCAATATATACTTTTTTTTTTTACCCTGAGTGTATATTAAAAGGAAAAAGATCAATCATACTTTTAAAACAAATTAATAGAGTTTAAATGAAATAAAAAAGATCAAATTAAATTATGTTTTATTACTTTTTTTAAAATGCCGACGGGCTTGGTATTTATGTTTCTGTTTAACATATATGTACATAAGTAGAATGTAAAAAAAAAAAAAAAAAAAAAAAAAAAAAAAACGTACAGAATGTTACGGCACGTGCAACGTTTTTCCTTCGGTCAGTTTATTGATTTATCGAGTCCATCGATTAAAACAAAATATTCATGATAGAATTTCAATGAAATGAATTGCTTCTGGATTATTTTTTTTCCAGTTTCAATATGTCGTTTCTGTGAACAGATAATATACTGTAGCCGATTTATCAGTTTATTGTCCAGTTGTGGACTTTGACTAATTCTCTGATCAAGTTTCTGAAAAACACCGAAATAGTGACAGCCACAGACACTGTTTAAGGTCTTCCGTTTAAATAGCACGATTAAAGACAAAAATATCTACCGAAACAAGATATAATAGCATATTTTGGTGACATGTGGTAGGTACATGTATATGATATTTTAGGCCCGATATCCAAGAGGGGTCCAGTGTTAACAAATGGAAGTGACTTACCTTCTCTATTTCATAATACCGCGGGTATGATTTTTTAATAAAACGTTAATTCCACGTTATTTTTATGGATTTTCCATATGGAATACATTGTAAATGTGTACTAGAAGATTAATTTATGGAAAAAGACGAATAAAAATATTCTTGGACCCCGGGGTGTATATTGGGGGGGGGGGGAGGAGGGGTCCTGTCCACAAGCACCTGTACAGCATTCAAGATTAAAAGACCATTCAAACAATACAAATCAGGAACAGTGCAAATCTTTTGAAATCAGAGGTAGAATCAAGTGCCATGGATCTGTCATGTTGTAAATTTTGAACTTACCGGTTGTCAGTATTTACTGCCGCCTGGTAAATTCAAAATTTATAGCATGAGAGATCCTTTTCATGCTAGCACTTACCCCGACACGAGACCTTATACGGTCTCATCCAGAGGACCGATCTCCACGTTTTACTACTTATCCAAACTGGACATAAAACATTCTCATTGAATTTTTTAATCATTATGTTGAACCTAACAAATTATTCCGACTCGCTGTATGATCTGAAAAAACATGGCTGAACTTATCCATTCAGAAACTCACAGACTGGGATTGCTTTTAACCAGTGTGTGTTATGGCCTTGATGCAAGGTCATTTGGTCGAGTCAAGGCCACTGACAGAGAAACTGTAATTTCGCTACCGTATTTGTACTAGTGAAACATTGCTGGTATCATGCAGAGTGTGACATGGCCTTGACTCAAGTTCAAGGTCACTAAGGATTAGATGTTTTGACTGTATGTATGGACTAAAAGAACATGACATGTCACTGTGAACTTTTCAAGTCGTAACACACACATTGGGTTTTATGACGAGAGTGTGTCATCGTTTGACGCAAGGCATTTGGAATGTTCAAGGTCACGTACATTCCTCTACAGTTTTTCCTAGCGAAATATTGTAAGTTGCTTCCCCTTACAAGATTGCTTACATGTATAACTTTAGAATGTGGCATGACCTTGACTCAAGGTCACTTCTTCCTTCCGCAGCTCCAACGGAAGACCTATTCGTTGCTTTGCAACGAGCTCGCTCTAGATTTTCCTTATATTAACTAAAGCTTTACATTCTAGGATACTGTGGAATCATCAATGTTCGTGGGGGACCATTGTTCGTGGATTTCGTGGGTCACCCTTATCCACGAATTTACATCCCCACGAAGAATTATTTTGTCAACATATTTATTTATTGAATCTTCTGTGTATACGAGTTACCCACGAGATTACGTCCCCACGAATCAACAAAATTTTGCTTGCCCACGAACATTGACCCCCACGAATTAAAATGATTCCACAGTATAATGATTGAGTATTAACAAAGTGTATAGATTCTATCATATAGTGGTAAAACATACATCTTCCAGTTTCTATTGGAAAGATGATGATTTGCAGTACGATATTTTATAAGCATTTTTTCTAAATTTAGGAGATAATTTATCAATATAATTTTCAAATCCAAAGTTTTGTTTAAAGATTATGTAAATCTACGTTTCCAGACCACTTTTGAATAAATGGATCTTGTAATAATTGTTTTACAATAGCAGTTATCCATTTATAATTCATATTGACACCCTGTTCCTACTATACATGTGAAAAACCACACATAATGACATATTTTCTGAATGCAATCTAATCACGGGTTTGTTAAATTTTCATCAAGTTTAAACATGTTTTGCATAATACATTTACAATTTTATTTTTCGGGCCTGATAAAGGCTTTGCCCAATATGAAATCATTCTACAATATACCGAGATGTATGGAGGAAGACGACCTGTTTCACGTAGATCATGTACGTGTAAATCGTATACGGTACCAATTTTGATGCACCCGATGCGCATTTCGACAATTTATGTCTCTTCAGTGATGTTCATGCCGAAACATTGGAAATCCAAAATATTTTAAAAAGACTTTGAAGAGCTAAAAAAGGTGCCAAAGATTGGAGCCAAATACATGTAAAGATCAGAGCTATGCATGAGGGAGATAATCCTTAATTTTGAAATAAATTTTTAAATTTTACAACAGCAATAAAATATATATCGGTATTTTCCAGCTAGTACCGACGTATTTAGCTACTGGGCTGTAGAGGGACCCAGGGACTAAAAGTCCACCAGCAGAGGCCTCGACGGGAAAATACATCGCCTAAATATTTAAAATTCTTTAACATTTTAAATAGCTAGATTCTCATAACAAATTTTTCTTTTTTACATATGACCATTTGAAAATACTACGATATTTGATTTTTCAACATTCCCTTTCAACGTCCATTGAGAACATTATGTCTGAAATTCGTTTATTGCATGTTGAACTTGGTTGGTCACGTGATCACGTACCAACCAAGTTCATTTCCCAGTGAACCTTTTAACCTTATTAATTACGACTTATAACAGTCCATTGGAATTCCCATGGGTACCAATTGCGCCCCGTTATTAGCAGACCTTTTTTGTATTCATACGAAGCAGAATTTGTCCAAAATCTTAAACGTGAAAAGAAGAAAATACTTGCTGTGGCCTTCAACTCGACATTCAGATATATCGTCGATCGACGTATTGTCAATTAACAATGGTTTTTTCCATTCTTATGTCAATACGAAATATCCCGGTGAGCTTGAGATAAAAGATACTACAAAGTCTGACACATCTGTTTCATATTTAGATATTTTACTTGAAAAAGACGTTAATGGTAATCTAACAACCAAGTTTTATGATAAACGTGATGACTTTAACTTTTCAATCGTCAGCTTCCCTAACTTATGCAGCAATATACCTTCATCACCTGCATACGGGGTTTAATCTTTCAGTTGATTCGATACGCAAGAGCATGCTCTACTATACGTACGTACAATTTCTAAAACGAGGTAAATCATTGACAAACAAGTTGATGAAACAAGAATATCAGATGTCTCGTTTAAAGTCATCATTTCGTAAGTTCTATGGTCGATACAATGACCTTGTCAGCAAATACAATTTATCATTGAGTCAAATGCTGACTGACGTTTTTCATACTAATTGTTAGGCAATTATTTACACACTAATTTGTCGACAGATTTTTCCGTTATATCCCGATCATGACAATGAGCACACGGCGGGTGTGACAGGTGCTCACTCAGGGGATGCTCACTCCTCCATGGCACCTGATCCCACCTCTGATGTTTGTGGGGTCCGTGTTTGCTCTGCAGCTATTTTGTAATGTTTAATGAACTTTTGAGCTTGAATAGTGTTCGTTATCTCCACATATTTCATTTACATGTACATTAAAGACGAATATTCGAATAATATTACATGTACATGCATTACACAAACGACCCGCCGTATCACTATGTTATAACTTAGTGACCATTGTATATTCTCGCGTATAAGTAGGTCCGCATGTAAGTCGGTTGTATTTTTTTTTCAGAAAAAGTGCCAATCTTTCTATGACTCACCTATAAGTTGGACACATAGTTTTGGACCAAAATTTAACTCCCAAAAAAGCCGACTTATAGGGGAGTATATACGATACATAGATAAGGGAAGTTGACGATAGAAAAGTTGAAGCCATCACGTTTTTCATAAAGTCTGTTGGTAGGTTCATACTGAATTGTCTACGGATTCCTTCTCCCGTTTGCCCGATCATGACAAGGAGCACAGGGCGGGAGATTTTGGTCAACAGGGCATGCTTAAACGAAGTACAATAATATTTTTGATATCAGAAATGTGGATGTAAAAAAATATGGTATTTGTAAATTTCATGGGTTTGAAAAAGGAACAAGGGTAAAAAAAATTAACCTCTTTCTGATAAGAGTCGTCACTATCAACATCCGAAAATTCTGTGCTAAAGGACTCATGGCGCATCTTGGAACATTCTGGAAAGTTTTCATCCCTCTGTGGCACTGCACGTTCATACAAGTATTCATAAGAATACACGATTTATATATTTCAGGAACATCATTGCATACTTCTTTTTAAAAAAATATTGATGAACATTATTCCAGTTGTTTAAAATGACACAAATTGCAAAAAAGTTGACAAATTCGAATGAAGATTACTTAAAAGTTTCACATTTATTGCTCTGTTAATATTAAAAACAAAATAAGATGCATTATTTTTTAATTTTAAGAAAAAATATTTAACATGTTTAAATAGTAATTTAATATTTTAGACATGAATGCAAATAATACATTCCATAATATAAAACGTTAATAGCATACTGTACAATTACTCACAACTTCTAATGAAAACTGAGTTTTCATTACTTAGTACCTGGACATTTTCGAAGGAACTTTCTGAGGAGCAGATGATCAGATCGTGGCCGTTGGTCGTCCCTGTTTGACCGCCTATGACGCCTATATTTGTGATTCATGCCTCTGAAATTTAGAGCAGACCTGGTATAGCGTGAATTTATACTTAAAACAAGTTTGGCTTTTCAGAAAGCCTAAACTGTCATGTCTTTGGCTTCACAAGTGTGACAAAATAAACAATGGAATGTAACATTTTTAATCAGCCATTACTGGCAGAAGAATCGTTTTTTGAAGGGGGGGGGGGGGGGGTAGTCAGAAAATAACAACTAGCCTAAACAATCGTTCACCAGGAAAAAAGGGGGGAACCCAAAAATCCTATTTCATGGATGGGGAGGGAAGCTTTTTCGTTTTTTCGAAAAACACATTTCTTTGGGGAGGATATAACTAGTGTGGGGAAGGGGGGGGGGGGGAGAAAAGCGGCCTTTCAGTGAACATTTGCAACAATTAAAGGTTATGTTAAAATAAATTGTGAAGGGGTGACCATCCTGATTACAAGTGTCTGTTATATTTAACCTGTTTGAAAATATATTTTATTCATTTACAATGTTTTTTTTTTTTTTGCAATGTATGTTAAAAATGTACCCACTAAGCAGTATTCGTAAAATGTATAAACAATTGTAAGTTATAAAAAAGATGGGTAAAACCCTAGCGTTCCTTTTGACTTTATTTCACAGAAGTGTTAAAATACGAAATATTATCACAATGCACGATGTAATAAACCGGAATTCTTATATTTTGCATTATTACATTTTGCGTCGAAATCAACGCAAAATGTAATTACGCAAAATGTTATATATAAGAAACTTTTAGGAATATTACATTCTGCGTTATTACGTTTTGCGTCGATGTCAACGCAAAATCAATAACGAAAAATGTAATTATAAGATATTTATTGGATTATTGTATTTTTTTTATTATTATATTTGGCGTTGATATTAAGCATAACGCAACATTGCAAAATGTAAAAACACACTTTCGGTCAGTTTGGTTAAGAAAAATTTATATTGCTTTATTATTAGCCGTTTTTTGATCTATGAAAAAATGCAAGTTCCATTTCAAGGGGATCAGATATATTGTGCTGATCTCCTGGCTATCAGACGTGGCATTTACAATTATTTTTTTTATTTTTTTGAAATGGAAAAGGACATTGCTTCTTACAAGCCTGTTAAAGATGTGTGTAAATCAATTTAATAATGTTTTGCGTAAAACACAAGCAAAAAAGGATTATATTTTGTGTTGTTACCTTTATATTTTATTACATTTTGCGTGCATAAAATGAAATAATACAAAATGTAATAATCAAAAAGGACATTATTACATTTAATCTCGACGCAAAATGTAATAACGCACAATGAAATAATCTTTGAAGTCTGTTATCACATTTTGTCTGTTATCACGCTCTAAAATGAAAGTAGCAGACAGACGACAACCTTGATTTGCTCTGGTTTGTTCAAAGACGGGACAGAATATAAGATGTAAAAAAAATGAATTTGATGCTAATAAGGCATGCAAGAGTCTAAGGTACGTTTCTCTTTCCTATTACAGTGCTACCGAGAACTGAGCAGATTTGTTTTGTAGGCCTATTAGGAACGTCGAGAATATGACTTCAGAGATTTAAAATTCACACTCGTGATCTGACAATGACATAAACATAATATTCCGTCTGTCAGCCCTGTATGTCGTCAGTTTTGTTTTTATTTAAATTCAAGTTTCTGTAATTGTTTAGGTAAAACACAGAATAGAAGTAACGATTTGTTTCATTTTTTTTTTACAATAAAAGCTAGGTCAAGAAAGTACGAAAGCCGGATAGGCTCATTTTTGACAAGACAAAAAAAAATATTTAACTCGTTAAAACGAGATAATTATCTCGTAATAACGAGTTAGTATCTCGTTATAACGAGTTAGTATCTCGTTATAACAAGTTAATATCTCGTTATAACGAGTTAGTTATCTCGTTATAACGAGATAATTATCTCGTTATAACGAGTTAGTTATCTCGTTATAACGATTTAGTTATCTCGTTATAACGAGTTAGTTATCTCGTTATAACGAGATAATTATCTCGTTATAACGAGTTAGTTATCTCGTTATAACGAGTTAATTATCTCGTTATAACGAGTTAGTATCTCGTTATAACGAGTTAATTATCTCGTTATAACGAGTTAGTATCTCTTTATAACGAGTTAGTTATCTCGTTATAACGATTTAGTTATCTCGTTATAACGAGTTAGTTATCTCGTTATAACGAGATAATTATCTCGTTATAACGAGATAAAAATTGATCTAGAATTGATATATCTAAGTAAAGAATAGACCATTATTTATAGGGAATATACAGAAGCAAGTCGATCAAATTTGTTTGAAGTGTGCGTGATAAAGATTTTATGGAACAGCATACTAGTTTTTTTGTGTTATGCCTTTGATTAGTATTGTTTATTGGAAAGACCGAAGACAAATATACGGAAACTTGTGACCGCCTCATGTTGTTGTGTTATACCTTAAGAGTGCAAAATAGAATTAGTGTCATCTTCAAATGGAATGTATATAACATCAAAATTTTGTCAACTTGTACAAGGAGATCAGAAAAAAATGATATTCTCTGCCTGATTTAACTGCCCTGTTCAAGCTTTCTTGAATTTGTTAAAATTATAATAATGTTTGCGTAATATTTGTCGCAATAAAAATGCATAGAAATATAATTCCATTATTTTAAATATTCCGAATAAATCATGTGGATATGAAACCATTTGTTAGGCTTTAACGATCATATTTTGATAATTCCTTGCCTGTTAACAAGGAATACCAGTTCAATTTTATCGTCTTAAAGGGGCAAGATCAAAATTCAATGTCTGACAAAAAACTAAATTCACGTTGTTTTTATCATCAATCCCTCCTTCCCCTCAATAATAAATATGATGAATATCAAGAACTAATACTGTACTTATCACTTAATAATTTATATATTTCTTCTGTTTATTAAAAGAAAGAAACATTTTAATTTACCAATTTGGCATGGAATCTTAAATTACAATATGTAATTTTTGCGTTATTATCAATGTGGTAGAATTAAAAAAAAAACTTTTGGAGCTCTTTATTCTACGGAAGCCACGATAAAAGGTGAAGGTCAGCATTAGTAAAAACAGTTGACATGTGATCCTTTTTGGGTATAGAATGAAAGTTTAATATCTAAAGTTTTCAATATGATAAGCATTACTTAAGGTGTATTTCAAGCATAAATTTTGCCAAGAAATGTGTATTGTATGTTGAGACAGGATTTTTGATATTTTCACTCGTGCTTCGCACTCATGGAAATATAAAACAAATTCCTGTCCCACTCGTGAAATAAATTCCATATCAACTATAAAACATTGAATATCCTCTACTTATTACCCCCCCCCCCCAAAAAAAAAAATCATCAATCTCTTTTTGAAATAAAAATTATATGCTTGTAAAGTATACATAATAAATATTGTGATGAGGAAAATAATTAACAACATTGCTTCAATGTTTATAAATGTACATATATAGTATTAGGCCTATTCGTTGATCAATCATAAATAAAAATATTATAAAAGTGAACTGGCTTTGTAAACTCTGTAAACTTTTTTTTTGTTTTGTAAACTCTGGTTTGACGTTCTGACACTATGTGGTAAACATATAGGATCCGCCAAATAGACGTGAATCTCAAATAGGTCTCCGTGAATCTCCACAACTTGGACCCCCCCCCCCCCCCGCAAAAATATAAACAGTGAATCATGACAGAATATTAGATAAATTGTCAATATCAGCAGAACAAATTTAACGTCTTATTACTTAAAAGGATGTAATATCATTTTTGCTTCACCATTCCTCATTATCGTGGACAATATGCATAAGCTAAGTCACAAAGTTCAATGGGGGGGGGGGGGGGTGTTTAAACCAAGTAAAATTTTGACATGTAAAAAGAAAAAAAATAGATTTGATATTCCAACTACGAGTATTCGCCATTATTTTCGGGAGATATTTACTCAGGTAAAAAAAATATGGAGGAAGGGCACAAAGATACTCTTGACCGCCCCCTTTTCAAAAGTGGTGGTGTGGACATTAGCCCCTCTATTACTACGCCTATGATCTAACTGCTGATGTCTCACCATCCCCCGTCTTCAAAACATTTCTGAATCTCAGAAGTTACATATGTATAACACTGTAATCTATATATTATATGTTGCATAAACGATATGTTGCACTTATATTGTCTCTGATATTTAATTTTAGCGGTATAGAAATTGATATATGAAAGTGTATAAGTCGTCCAAAACATATCGAAATAGTGTCATTCATCAGAAATAGTTGTCATAAATAAATTGCCAAAGTTTGAAGCAAGTATGTTTGGCAATATTATTTTAAGAAAAATATCGCGTCCTAATGCAACAATTTGAGGAGGAGTTCACGAAAATGTGTATATGTGTTCGCCTTAGAGTTGCTATGATTATTGACAGCGAGATAGTTCAAGATTTAATCATAAGTAAACCCCAGAGCAAATTAAATTTTCAACCATTTATCAATTGTTCAAGTTAAATTTGACTGAT